AAAAGAGAGTACTGAAGCTGAGCTACGTGTGATGCCTGCTTATTCCACTATTTCAACATAGCACACCACAACAAGGCCATAGACCGATCCTAACCTGTTCAAGGAAGTTCTCTGTTACTAAAACTAAATGAAATAGCAAATAGGACACAGTTTTAACACAAACTTACAATAAAATGAAACAAAAACTAAAAGACAAGCTGAACATTTCACTCCCTTTTTCTCCCCCTCAGTGCACCTCCGGCTTTATCAACGATGGAAACCAGCTGAAGGTCACCTGCCCATCCTGCCGCAAGAGTTTCTGCGCTCAGTGCAAGAAACCGGTGAGTCTGACCTCAGCAGGAATGTGTGTGGGAGTCGCTCGTCCTCCTTCAGCGCAGATAAACATCTGAGGAAGCGCCCCCGCTCAGCTGCTGTGCCTCTGTTCCAGTGGGAGCCTCAGCACCAGGATGTTTCCTGTGAGCAGTTCCAGCTGTGGAAGAGGGAGAACGACCCGGAGTACCAGAGGCAGGGCCTGGCCGGCTACCTGAGGGACAACGGCATCAGTAAGTACGACACCGCTGCATCAGCAAGCAAGAAAGCAGCAATTATCGTGAAGAAAAACATTCATTCAGTCTACAGGTACAGCTTAAAAACTTCAAATATCATGAAACTCATATATAACATAGATTTACAGAAATGTAATTTTTTTCCTTCCACTCAATTTTCTGGGAATATACTTGGATACAGCATTCTGTGAATAACTAGCTTCTTTAGCGATGACTTTTTGTGTCTTCACCATGATGCTGTCACAAGAAAATCACCAATTCAATCTACAGGTGCAGCTCAAACATTTTAAATATCACAAAACTCATATTTTAGAGATTTATTACACATGGAGGGAAATATTTCAAGATTTTATTTCTTTTTTTCTAATTATTTGTACCTCGGAAAATTAGAATATTGCATAAGATCAATAAAAAAAAGTATTTTAAACACAAATGCCAGGATTTAAAAAGTGTAAATTTTCCTCCAATACTTTTTCCTTCCACTCAACTTTCTGGGAATATACTTGGGTAGAGTATTCTGAATAACCAGCTTCTTTAGCACAGAAGCTAAGAATAACATTTCCCGTGTCTCCTATGGGATTCCAAGTTAGCTTTGTCTTTTTAAAAGTTAACTAAGATATTTAAACTAGCAGCTAAACCAGAACTAGTTGATGATATTTTGTGTTTTTCCAGTGTTCCCAGTTAAAGCATTTCTTCTTCTGATCTGACCAGCGTGTGTTTTTCTTGCAGCCTGTCCGGAGTGTAAGTTCCAGTATGCGCTGACCAAAGGTGGCTGCATGCACTTCACCTGCTCCCAGTGCCGCCACCAGTTCTGCAGCGGCTGCAACAACCCGTACTACAAGGTGGGTTCCCATGACGACGCATCAGCCTGGGTGGGGTTAGCGACGTCTGGTCCCAGTGTTCCCAGTATTTTGGTGTTTGTTCCTCCTGCAGATGGAGTGTAAGATTCCTCAGTGTAAATTCACTGGCCTGCACGCCCACCACCCCAGAGACTGTCTGTTCTACCTTCGGGACTGGGACGCAGACCGGCTGCAGGCCCTGCTGCAGGTAACTGGGAGGAAAGGGGAACCAGAACCCTTCCCTCCAGAACACGTCTAGGCTGTTCATGTGAGATTCAAGATTTGAAGCAGAGTTCCTCTCTGAGTTCATGGAGATGCTAAACTGGGATTAGCATCTCCCAGTTTAGCATCTCTTTTTATACCATCGTCGTCTTTCCTCTCATATTTTATCCTTTTTGTTTTCCTGTTTCGTCGTTGTTTTCTTTTCATTTCCATTTTAGTTTTCCTTTTCTTCCTTTTGTTGTGTTTTCCTTTTTCTTATTTTTTCACTAAATAAAAAAAATAGAAAAAAATGATATTTTTCCCTTTTCTTTTCCTTTGTTCTTATTTTATTTCCCTGCATCTTGTGTTTTTAGCTGAAACATTGAAGTTATTCACATCAGGAGTTGATTTAAAATCAGTTCAGTTTAATTAAAAAGTAAATTTAATTTCCTGTCTTGTTTCCCACCAGAGGAGCCGCGTGGCCTTCAACACGGATCCTTCCAATGAGACCCCAACTGGTGAGTGTCATCCGGTTCTGCTGTGGAAATGATTTGGACCTCCTGGAGTTTCTTAACGCTCCGCTCTCTGTGCGCAGACGCCTGCGGCGTGATGGAGCAGAAGGACGAAGGCGGCCAGCCGGCCGACTCGCCATGCGGCCTCCAGACCCAGCCGGGCCAGGCCGGGCTATGCATGTGAGTCAGCAGAACTGGACAGAACCTCTGGACGGTTCCTGCTTGTCGGGTCGAGCCCAGAGGTTCTGCAGCGAAGTGAAGCTGCATTTAGGATTGGGGGAAATAATTCCTATGTATAGTGATATGGTAAAGTTAAATACTCTAAAGCTAATTGGATGCCTTTATAACTTAAAAATTTAAGTTATAAATTAACTTCCTCCTGACACTGATTTTGTTTTTTAGTTATTTAATAAAAATGTTTAGGAAAAAGAAAACGGAGAAATCTGAAAATATTTGGGTCAAAAGAACGACATCCATCCATCCATCCATCCATCCATCCATCCATCCATCCATCCATCCATCCATCCATCCATCCATCCATCCATCCATCCATCCATCCATCCATCCCTCTCTCTCTGTCTCTCTCTCTGTTTCTCTCTCTCTCTCTCTCTCTGTCTCTCTCTGACTGAACCCCTCTGAGTCTCAGGTTGTTTTTCCTGCAGGAAACACTACAGGGAGTACCTGGTGAGCCTGATAAACGACCACTCTCTGGACCCGGCGGTTCTCTACGAGACCCAGGAGCTGGTTGTGGCCTGCCAGAGATACCTGGGCGACCTCAAGAAAGGAGACGGGGAGGACGACAACGCTTTCAGCGCCCGCCTGCTGAAGGTTCGGCCCAGACAGGATTACACTCACCTGCTCTAATAAACCCGGAGACGCTGCTAATCCAACTGTTCTGTTTCCGCTTTGCAGAAACTGATGGAGGTTCCTCTTGGAGAAAAAGTTCCTCGAAGCAAATAAACTGAAGAAAACCCTGGCCTGCAAAAAACTCTTACCAAGTATCTCTATCTGGTTTCTAAGGCAGAGAACGCCAACATGTAGGAGCCTGTTTTCAGTCATTAATATGGATGAAAAAGTTCTAGATACACTGGCAGGTAAATTCACCTGTAACAAAATATTTTCCTATAACTTATAAAGAACTAGAACTTTTTCACAGTATTAAGGAATTATTCACTTAAAACAAGCTGCTGCATTTTGCTGATAAGTCAGTTTTGTTTTATTCCAAGATATTTGCTCTAGAAACTAGAATAAAAATATTTGGTGGGACTTTGAATTTTTGCAGCGTTGACATCTGATTGATTATTCCATAGAAATCATATATTTATAACCATATATTTGTTGGGTTATTTCGGTGAAACACAATCTATTTTAACATTTTATGCACATTTTCTCTTGTTTTGTGCGTTTTTAATTGAATTTAGTTAAAAAGTTTAAGCTGAAGTAATTCACTGTGTTTGTTGTTGTCCAGGAATCGGACAGTTTTATTTCTTACACTTGAATAACGAAGCTAAATGAGGGGAAACAAATGAAAACATCATGTTATATTGATTAGATTTTGGTGCAGATGTTAAATTTTTCTTCTTGTTTGGTGTTCACATGATGACATCACATTTAAAACCAGATCAATAAATGGTTCAAAATGGAAAAATTGAGGAAATTCTCATTTTTATTTACTGCTTCTTTCTTTATTGGAAATGTGAAGAAAAATGAAACGTGTCATTTTTTGCAGGGCTTTGTAAAGCCGTCTTTAACTGAATAAAGCTGTAAAGTAACTGAGGCTGATGCTGTGCAGCCAGACACATTACAGTCATTAGTAAACAGTCTCTCCACCCCCTGCATTTCTGCCAGATGATGCAGCACTTCTGGAGAAAAGCTGTGCATGTTGCAAACAGCTGGGCGTTCTCCACTGTAGGAAAAGACCAAAATGACCCACAACACAAATATTACAGCACATATGGGTTACATTTGACAAAACTATTTCAGATTAGTCTGGATTACTGGAAAGAGAATCAGATAACTTCATTTAGGTGGAGTCATATGAGCTCAAGTGGAGCTGAAATCATTTTAAAATAGGAGCTTTGATGCTTGAAGTCATTGTCTTTGTGTGTTAGCAAAGGTTAGCAAACGACTCACTTTGCCCCTTTTATCCACGGAAACTGAATCCTGGATTAAGTCCAATCCCTCTGATTGGGACATCTGAAGAAAAGTAGAGAGATCTGAGTCCTGTGTGTTGCCAACGCCCATCACAGAGGACCAGGATCCAAAAAACCTTTGAATTTCTTCAGCCAAAGTCAACAAACCCTTAAACAGATAAAACCCCGTCTGTTGCTTCCTTAACAGGTTTCCCAAAAACTTAAGCAGATGATACTCTAAGTTACTTAAGAAAAACATTGACACTATGGGCAAAATAAACCAACAAAGTAAAGACGATGTATTTTAACAAACAACTGATAAAAATCAGAAGTGTTTAGTACAGAAACCAACAAACTAACCAAGATCAAGTATAAAAATGAGACCAATGGAGATCCAGCATGTATGAGAGAAGCTCTGAACAGAAAATGTTGACTTTAGAACAATTATCTGTATTTACCAACTATAAAGCCTCAGAAACATGCATTGTATTCATGCTGGTTGTGGTGGTCATATAAGTACATTAAACAGTTTATCCAACTGAACTATAAAGTAGATAATTTACACACAAACTGATGTTTTCAAGCATCTATTACAAAATTAGAGAATTACAGCAGACTAATAAAATAAACAATTTTAACACAGAAATGTTTAGATTTTATGACAAACAAGTCTTATTGGGGGACATATTTGAATTTACTGAACATGTAAATATTCACGTCAGATAAAAACAGCAGGATATACTACTCATAAATCATTGTATTGGCTAATAAAAAGTCTAAGAAATGTAGAATAAAGTGTTGCAGTGTGGATAATTAGATGTAATTATTTAGTCATAACTTGAACTGAAGCACGAATATATATTAAAACAAGCTGCAGTTTCGTTTAGGATAAAAAAATCGGGTCGTGTTTGTTATGCAAGCTGCAGACTGAGTGGTGTTTTCTGTCGCCCCCTGGCGGTGGAGACGCTGCGTGTTTCTGCAAAATCACGTGATTTCGAGGAAACGGGCAGCTGGGCTGAGAGGAGCGAAGCTCTGCTGCTCCGTCACTCAGTCTGCAAGGCGCCGCTGAGGAAACATAACCAAGGTAAACGAAACTTAAACCTACTTCCTCCATTTTGACACTTTACCTTCTATTTCTGACTTTATAAAGTCCCCAGAACCGCAGCGGAGGGCTCGCTTCTGATATTTTATATCAGCAAAACTCGGCTCTGTTTGAAGGTTGTCAGATTTTTTTAAAAAGAAAAACAACTTTTAGTTGTTAACACGGCTCATTTCTGTGTCATAAATCAAATGTATTCGTCTTTTACTTATTTTTTCAGTCAGTTATTTATTAAAATGCGCCTGTAGAGAGATATTAGCTCATGTCATTAATGTGCCACTTATTATTTTATGTTGTTTATGTATTTCAGCCGTTTTAAAGGGGAATCATGGCAGCAGGAAGGATGAGATCCACCCGCAGACTTCGCTCATGGATAGTGGATCAGGTGTGTGTGTGTGTGTGTGTGTGTGTGTGTGTTAATGTCCTGAGGGGCAGAAAGGGAGGGGGAAGCAAATAGAGTCCTAATAACTGTCCCGTTTTTGAGGTTATATATATATAAATATCAACCGGAAGTCTAATTTTCAGAAGTTAAAATGAGTTAGTTCTCTTCTTAAGTTATTAAAACTGACTTTAACTAAAATACCACCTGCTGAAACTTTAATGAGATGCTTNTATGNGACCTAAATCTGTTTTTTTAGAAACAGGTATGGTCGGTTTATTTGTTATTGTAAACAAGTTGTGTGACCCAGATCAGACATCTATTAATACCTGTGTTTTAATGCACTGTCTTACAAGTCTGTCTGATTTTTCTCTTGCAATTGAACGAGACAAAAAAAGAGAAAAACTTGGTCAAACTTGTGCGACTTTGTATTGTAAATTTCCACCCAAAAACTCAAGAGATTTCTATATTAATTCAACAAATTTACGAGAAAAAGATCAGACTCTATGCTGTAGTTAAAAAGTTGTAAATTTACAAGAAAAAAATTATAATTTACCATAATAGGCACAATCTATTCTTTAGAAAAACATCCAGATGCTCCTAATTTACCACCTCAATGTTAGAGGTTTTCTGGTAAGACTAAAAAATACAAAGTATTTAAAAAAATTAAATTATGAGAAGTCGAAATAAGATGACAATAAAGTCATGATATTTTGGGAATAAAGTCAATATGAGAATAAAGTCAAAATAATAAGGGAATAAAGTTGTAGTATTACAAGAATGAAGCCGTAATATTGTGACTTCATTCTTGTTATACTACAATTTTATTCTGGTAATTTTATTACTTAATCTAATTTTATTTATTTATTTAAATGTTCTTAGCGTGGCCCTAATACTGGTGTGTTCTGGCATTTTTTATTTTTATTTTGTTTTATGCAAATTTATGACTTTCTATGTTAGAGAAAATCTTGTTTTGATATTTAACTTTTTCTTGTTGGATTTTTTATGTAAACATGTGAAATGAATCTAAAAATTTCCAAGTTTTTGCCAGAAATTTACTCAGGTTTAACAAACTTTCTGCTACTTTCTTTTTGTTTTGTCAAATTGCAAGATAAAAATCGGATACATTTGTAAAATAATTGCATTATAATAGCCCACAGAAATTAAATTGGTTGAGGCAACTGAAACTGTTGTGCAGTTCCAACAGGATAATGATCTGAAACACATTTCAAATCTGGTCTAATGAGATAAAGCTAGCTAACTGGAAGCTCATTCCAGTTCAAAAATGAACGGACCGTGCTCCAAATCTTCGTCTAATCCTTGAAACATTTAGCTGTTATTATATTAAAGAACCATATTGCAGTGATGGAGTAACTCCAGCTCTGCTTATTGTGACGCTCAGATTCTATTTGGGCCGATCTGGAGATCTGCCGTCTGTTGAACCATTAGCAGGCGTTAGCGCTGGGCAGCAGTTTGGTTTCGCCAAATGGAGGAACTTCCTGTTGGTGTTTGAAACGTTGCTGGAAACCAAACGTTGGTGTTTGTCGTGCGACAGGTGAGCAGCGGGAAGTATCCAGGTGTGATGTGGGACGACGAGGCCAAAACGATGTTCAGGATCCCATGGAAACACGCAGGGAAACACGACTTCCGTGAGGACGAGGACGCAGCGCTCTTCAAGGTCAGAGGTCGCCTGATGCTTTGTGACTTTGGGTTTTAGATTACAGGATGAGCGGAACCGGATCAGAACCCAGTGACTGGACCGAGTTTGGAAAATATTTCTGTTTTCAGATTGAATTTAAAGTCTGACATCCATCCATCATCCATCCATCCGCCTATCGTTCATTAATCTGTTCATCCATACATACATCCATCCACTCATCTGTTCATCTATCCAGTTATCTATCTATCCATCCACCCAACATCCAATCATCCATCCATCCATCATCTGTCTGTCCATCTATCCGTCTGGTTTTCCTCCACCCCTCCATCCATCCGTCCTTCCATTTGTTCATCCATCCAACATGTATCCATTTTTTAATGTATCTGTTTTTCATCCGTCCATCCCTCCCTCCATGGTAACGCTGGTTCCCCTGGTTCTGCAGGCCTGGGCCGAGTTCAAAGGGAAGCTGGGGAACGGAGAGAAGAATCCTGCGGCGTGGAAGACGCGTCTTCGCTGCGCTCTCAACAAGAGCCCCGAGTTCAAGGAGGTGATGGAGCGCGCCCAGCTGGACATCTCAGAGCCGTACAAGGTGTACCGCCTGGTGCCCATCAGCGAGCAGGGTGAGGCCCACACGCCGGTGCTGACCCGGTCCAGGTTTTCTGTCTGTCTTGGTTTGGTGAAAACATTGAGCAACACGTTACACAAACCGATCTATTTTTCGAGCAGAAGCGTTTCTGCTGCAGTTTATCTCTGACAGGAGCGTTTGGTGTTTGTCCAGCAGCTGGTTCTGATTCTGGTTCTGGTCCAGATAAAACTCCAGCTGCTGATTCTTCAGATCAGACTGGTGAACTTTCACAAACATTCAGCAGACAGAGTGAGGGTTTTATTTAGAGCAGGAACCAGGAAACCAAGTGTGATTTCTCTGAGGTTTTCACTACGATTCGTTGGCGGACGAAGTGGCTTCAGGTGTTGAGACGCCTGCTGGCGCGAAGATTCAAGAGGAAATGGAGCTGATGCTCCACGTTACCCTGATTTGAATATCTTGAAACTTTTATTTTCAAACTTACTTCCTGTTTTCCCGACAGGAAGCCACTCTTCAGTCAAACATCAGTCAGAAGTCACAGTAAAAAAGTCACAAACATAAACATTCAACAACAGAAACATAGTGATGCTTTGGGTAGGAAGGATCTCCAGTAGCAGTCAGTACTGCCATCTGTAGAGGCCTCTGACTGAAGACTGTTGCTTTATCACCTTCATGACACATCAGTTGTTAACTAGCTCTGCTAATCCACCTCATTTGCTTTTGCCGCTCCTCTTTAATGCTACATTCCATTTGTAGTTGCAACTCAGAAAATCCAGCTTCTGAGTCGGGAAAAATCAATATCCAATATGGCTGCTCCTCGCAGCAACAGCAGTAGAAGTGTGTCTAAAACCCATTCTACATGTAGCGCCTCCAACTCTACAATGAAAAAATTAAACGTGGTGAAAAGTACAGCTTCAAACGATGATCGTAAGATGAACAGTGGCCACTTGGGCGCCGCCATTTTGAAAGCAGATTATGTTAACTGGACCACTGTTAACTCAGGTTTGATGTGGTTTTGACCTCTGAGACAGCGAAACCTCATAACTATCCTGACATGCTAACAGCTCCATAACATGTCCTGGATGACACCATCAGCTCTGCTGATCCACCTCATTTACTTTTGCCACTCCTCTTTATGGTTAGAAAGATGTTAGAGTAGGAGATCTCTCTCTCTCTCTCTGCATCCTTGAAGCCTCCTTTCCACCTCCACTGGGGTCATAGTTCAGGTGTTATTTGAGCTTTCGAGAAGCTTCATTCTGCACAGAGAACTAGTCAAAGGCCGCCTCAGAAAGAGGAAGTATGAAGCAGTTAAACATGATGATGACAGCAGGGGTGTAAACTGAAGAGCTTCACTGGGATCTGGCTTCAGGAGACGCATTGAACGTTAATATTTCATCAGTAATAAAGTTATGATGTTTATCACGGCAGCTGTAAAGCAGGGAAACGTCGTCAACCTCCATATTTACACTAACGTTTAGCTCTCCTGTCTGGGATCATTCATGCTAATGAGCTTCCAGTTTGTTTACGTTTTATCATGGCAACCAGAACGAGAGTATTTACATGTCAGCTGCTTTCTGACTCACTTCGGACCTGGAAGGTCAAAGGATCGCTTGATCACATTTTTATTCTTACCTTTGAGGTATTCTTTGCTTTTAAGCAGATTTTTAAATGTTTTTATTTTAAATTAGAAAAGTGATGATATCCAGGGTTCCTACGAACTCTGGGAAAGTCTGACTTTTGATTCAAGTAATTTCAGATCTGGATAAAATGGAAATGGAAAAATATTTCCTTTGTTTTACTTCTTATCTTCTAAAACTTCATTTCCAGAGTTATTTTTTTCTTTGTCTTTTCTAGTTCCTTTTTTTCTCGTTATCCTTCCTAGAATCCTTTTTCCTTCCCTTTCCTTCTTGTGTTCCCTTTCTTATTTCCTAGTGTCCTTCTTCCCTTTTCCTCTCGTTTCATTCTTTTCTTTTCTTCCCAGTGTCGTTTTTCCTGTTTCCTTCTTATGTCTCCTTTTTCCTTCCTTCCTAGTGTCCTCTGCTTTCCTTTTTGTCTCTCCTTTACCTTCCTTTAGTGTCCTTTTTCAGTTTCCTCCTTGTCTTTTCTTTCTTGTTTCCCTTCATTTCTTTTTGCATCCCCTTCCATCTTTCTCTCCCAGTTTACTTTTTCCCTCCGTTCTTTAGACTTTCTGAAGGTTTTTTTTTTGCGTCAACCACCTGATCATGACAGCATGTTTTGCAGTTTGCGCTTAATAAAAGGTGACATCTCTCAGAAGCTTCGGCTGCTGGCAGTCAGAATATAATCCCTTGGATTATCGCTGCTGGACGTCAGATTAATCTTCCTCCTCCGGGTTTCCAGGTGTGCTGCTTCCTGAGCCGAAGGTCAAAGAGAAGAGCAGCAAGAAGCTGAAGAGGAAGAGCAGCAGCTCGGACTGCCAGGTCAAAAAGATCAAAACTGAAGAGGTCACCTCTCAGCTGGTGAGGCTGACGCTCAGGTCAAAGGTCAAGGTTTCGTCCTGCAGATGTCAGGTGGACCACTAACCTTCTGTCCTTGATTCACAGCATGAAGAGGAAGAGGACCAGCAGCAGGACAGCCAGCCGGTCCAGTCAGACGGACCTGCCCAGTGCACCAGTGAGTCCAGGCGCTCTGTTACAGCCCACAGCATGATGCTGCCACCGCCATGCTCAATAACTAGCATAGTGCTTTATAGAGGAAGATCTAATCTCTTCTAAACGCTGATGCCTGAGATTCATTTACGAAATATTTGTGTTTTGGTGCATTTCTTTAAAAACATCATCCAGAAGGAACTTTTTTCTGTAAAAACCCCAGTGAGGTTGTTATCAAGCCGTTTCTTTGTCTCTGCAGTATTTCAGAATAACTTTAAGCCTCATTACGAGTTTTTTCTGCTTAGTAACTGGTTTATTTCTCATCTTCCTCTCTGCAGCGCTGGATGAGATCAGGCTGGACGTTCGGATCGAGGAGAGCGTCCCGGCCAACACAGGAGGTAACCAACGTTACAGCAGGAGAAAAGCTGCTGTCTCCATCATGTGGCTTTAGCTCCGCCCCCTCTGATAACCCCGCCCCCTCTTATAACCCCGCCCCCTTTCTTTCCAACAGACCAAGACTCCTTCAGCGTGACGGTTCATTATCTTGGCCAGGAGGTTCTCAAACGTCAGATCAGCGGCCCCGATGTGCGCATCGCGTATCTGCCCTCCTCGCCCGCCCCCCCGACTCCTGCCGCCCTGTGCCGCTTCCCTCGCATCCTGCTGCCGGAGCCGCCGTCCGCGTTGCCGGCGGGCGAGGAGCTGCAGGCGCTGTTCACCCTGCTGCCCTTCATGGCGAAGGGCATCGCGCTGACGTCCACGCCGCAGGGGGTGTACGGCAGGCGGTTCTGCCAGGGCCGGATCTTCTGGACGGGGCCGCACACGACCACGCCGGGCCTCCACCGGATGGAGAGGAACATGGAGTCGGTGCTGCTGTTCAGCAAGGACATCTTCAAGCAACGTGAGTCTAAACGTCTGGTTTTTATTTATCCGTTGAGCTGCCAGGTTCTCGTTTGGCTGAATCCTTAAAAAGTCTTAAATTCCTTTAAAAAAACAGTGAATTGGCTTTAAATTCATTGTCATGTTGTAAAAGCAACCTATTGTGCTTCCTTGAACAGGTGAGGACATACAAAAAAACATTACACTAAAATGAATCCATTATGGTCTTAAAAAGTCTTAAATCTGAGCTGGTGAAACTGGTGATATAAAACATGATGGAGCCTCGTTTAAAGAATATCTCAGGCTCTGCTTTCCTCCAGTTCCTGAAACTGACCTGAAAACCGGTTCTGGTCTGGTGTTTCCTCAGAACTGGACTCTTTCCGAGCCAACGGCGGCGAGCCTCCTCAGTGCAGCTTCACTCTGTGTTTTGGAGAAGAGTTCAGCAACACCGAAGATCCGTCTCGCAAACTGATCATCGCGCAGGTAAACCTCCGGACACGGAGGCACATTTTGATCATGTTGGTTTTAATGCTACATATTTTTTTAAAAATTAGAAAATTGATAATTTGCAGAAAAAAATACAGTTTTCAAAGATTAAATATACAATACCAAGTCGGAAATTTGTGGGAAAAAAGTGACAGAAATCATCTAAGATGAAGGTAAATGAAATTATTTCCTCACAAATTTCCATTTGCTCTACATCAGAGAAAATCTGTTTAAATATGTCAAATTAATGTCAAAGTGATGTTGGTGGAAATTTACTGTCCTGACACCATTTTACCATCTAGAATGGCCCGTGTTCCCCAAATACAGCATCGTATTTAAGGAATCAATTTGAAATTATTTATTGAAGTTTAAAGGAATAAATTTGAAATCTAAAGAATCACATTTTTTAAAATCTGTTATTTAAAACTAAATTTCGTGTATATGAGCCAAACGTCCTGCTGTTTGTTCCACTAATCTAATATTAAGTTCAGTTCTGATGGTTTTGCATCAGATTTCATCAAATAAAGCCACTACGATCTAAAAAAATACATTTTGATGTCCAGTTTTTCTACTGTGAAGCGTAAGTTGAGGTAGTTCCTCTGTAAGGTGGCCTGTGCCTCCTGTCTGCAGGTTTCCCTCCCGTGGGCGGAGCAGCAGGTGGAGAACGCGCTCTCCGTCTTCAACACCCTGTCGGTCTTCCGGACCTTGGCCAGCCAGTCTCCGCTGGGAGAAATCACGCTGAACCTCGTCACGGTGCCGTCGCCGTCCTCCGAGCTGGACGCCTGTCAGACCAACTGAGAGTCTCCAAGAAACTCTGAAACATTCCCAGCTTTCAAAATAAGAGCCTCTGCTTTCTCTGCACGCGAAAAATAAGACTTTGAAGCACTCAAAAGAAAAATCCGTTGAACTCTGGAGCTAAATCGGTGACGTTTGGGGTTAAAAAAATGGATTTTCTTCATTTCCTGCGGGGATCGGTGCGTTGGAAACACTACAGGAAAAGCCAACGGCATGGAGATCATGTGTTTTAGAGAAATTTAAAAATAGTTTCTCTATAAATCAGTTTTTATTGTTCTGTTGGTGCTTAGAGCCCAAACACTCTTTTAAAGGGACCATAAAGTTAAAAACAGGCATGTTTAAGGTACTGTACTCCAATCATAGCATAGATTAATAGTTTTAGCTACTTGTTATCATCCAGACTGATTATGAAACAGTCTTAAAGCTGAGTTTTAGTTTAAAACACTCGTTTTATTAAATAAAAGACTTTCACTGTGAACTTCATTATTACAGCAGAGATCACATCCAACAGTTTTTCCTTTTCACAATTCCTAAATCTTCCCTCATTCACTGGATTAAATTATGTATGGCTAAGAAGTAAAGCACAATAACAACCATGTAAGTCAAATTACTGTTTTAGCCTCAAAAACACAGATTTCTATTTCATTTTAGGGAAGCTCTAACTTTAGTAGATTATTATTTAAAGGCTGGTTTAAGAAGCTCTACTCAGATTTGATTTGATTATTTCTGGCTGGAGGTTGTGTTATGATGCCACGTTCAGGGCATCTGTTCAAGAAAAAATAGTTTTAAAAGTTTGTATTTTAATAATTTCTCAAAAAAAGATTGCAGTACCAAGTTAGTTTTTGTTCAGTTTAGATGGTAAAAGTTTACAAATAGCTGTAAAGCAGGCAGTGGAGTGTAGATTAAAAAAATAAATAAAAATGAGGCCATGGAGGAGAAAGTTTCAGCGGAAAAACTCCGAAATTTTGAGTAATTTCACATTAAATTTAAAGTATTAAAACAAAGATATTATAATGTCAGAAATTTGTAAGAATACGGTCAAATTTTTCAGAATTTTTTTTTTAAATTGGACATTTGTAACAGAAAATAGTGGATGTTATCTAAGATTGAGTCGGTACATTTAGGAAACAAACATCTGGATGTTTTCCAGAGTTAAAGGGAAGAATCCGGGTTGTTTTCCTGGACCAGAACGTCTCCTGGAGACCCGGTTCTGGTCCAGGAAAAGCCCAGACCTCATCCTTAAACTCTGGGAAACATCCAGGTGTGAGTCTCGTCGACGTAGCGCCTCAATCCTGGAGCGTTTCTGGCTATTTCGTCACAAATGTACAACTTTTTAGAAAATTCCTGATAAATTTGAGAGTTTTCTTACAAATTTCTGACTTTGTACATCAAATAGTTTTAATATTGTAAATTTATACCTTTTATCCTGGAAGATTTTCATTTTACAGCTTTTCAAAATCAGTTTTTTCTCGTAAATGAGTGAAATTAATTCATAAATTTCTGAGTTTTTTGGTGAAAATCAGCTCCTCCATGGCCTCATTATTTTTATTTTTTTCATCTATAACAGCCCCGATACTCTGTCATATTTATACCAACTATTCATGTTTATTTATATTTTTTAAGACTTAAACTGACAGAAAAACAAGGAATTATATCATTTGAATGTGGGGAAAAATCCAGAATTATGAACGGAAGACAGCAAACACTGAAATATAAAAAATATTCTAAAAATTCTTAGAATTTTTTTTTTAAATCTGAGAATTTCTTGAATTTGAATCTGAAATTTTCTCATCTGATGTTGGTGTAAAATGTAAATATGGGAATATTGCACTAAAGTTTAGAGCATTTAGTTTGTTGGAGTTCATTTAATGGTAGTTTGTCGATTTTAAGTTGATTTTCTTTAATTCAAGGTAAGAAAACGCTGCAGAAATGAAGAAGGAAATTTATTCTTGGACCACAACGAGCTTTGAGTTCAGTTTATATCCAATATTTAAAACTGGAACATTTAAGGTTTGTAGAAGTTGAAAACTTGTTACCAATGTAATTAATCACAGTGTAAAAACAATAATTAAGTACATCCTGTCAAATTAAACGTTTCTATCCAGCAATTATGAGGAAATCAACCAAATAAAACAGATATTTTTTTTAAACAAACTACCATCATCATCACATCATCATCCTGAGTTGGATGAACATTTTGTGACACAAGAAAAATAAAAAAGGCATTTAGAAATAAAACCATGAGGTGGATTGTTGGAGTTAAATCCTATTTTAAGGTGGATTAGTTAAAAAATGATCCGTTTTTTTTGGGTTGGCACGAGATGTAAATGTGTCATTTAAGCTCGTTTGTCTTTGTTCTGTCGATAGTAAAACTTTTCCATGGACTCTGCTGGGTGTGTGTTTGTGTCGGAGGAACCGGGTCGCCGTCAGATGTTTCCGTTGGCCGGCGAGGAAAGCTCGGCGATCTTGGCGTTGAGCGTCTGATTGGTCCAGTCCTTGGTGATGTCATCCAGGTGGCCGTCGAAGTCCACCAGGAGGGCGTGGTCGCCCGACTCCAGCATCTGGCTGGCGATGGCCTGCGTCTCTTCCCACTGCCGCAGCATGATCCTGGACAGGAAGTGACACGAGTCCGTTAGGCTGACGAACAGGAAGCTGCTGCTACTCAAAGCAATGGAGTCCAAGTCCAAACTAAATCAGCCATTTTATACATTTATTAATGAAAACTAAAAGGAAACTTGATAAATTGTTTCAGATGAGATTCTGATTTCTCAGACTAATCTGAGTCGGATTAAACTTCCTGATTCCAGATTAATCTCTTCCTGATGCTATATTGACATTTTACTCACTAAACTACAAACCAAGACTTTATAAAGTCCCTCACAAACCTAACATCTCAGTTTTTATCTGACAGACCAACACACAGTGGAAAAGAAATAGTTTTCACAACCCTCAATTAATAAATCTGAAAAGTGTGGCCTGCATTTGTATTCAGCCTCCCTGGTTTTCTGGAGTTTTTTCCTCCATCAGATAATTTTTTAGTCTGTAAACCTTCATTTTCAAGCCTTAGCACAGATACTCAGTTGGACTGAGGTTTGGACTTTGACTAGGCCATTCTAATTCATGAATTTGCATTGATGAAAACCAGGTGTGTCCAACTGCAATTAAAAAATGATAGAAATTTGTCCCGTCCAGCACAGGTGGTTGATTAAGAAGGACATTTTTTGTAATCAAGGCAAAACTATTAAAAACTTTATTTTTTATGATGAAAAATGTAAAGTACGACTGAAAGTATTTGTTTTTTCATAACCAAGCTTTTACCATAAGTAGATCCAGAGACTTCTAGAGACCCAAATCCTTCCAAATCCTTTTCTTATTACAGAAAATACTTTCTTTCTTTGTTTTTTAAACTAGTTCATTTCATACATCAATAGTACAAAATCCCTTTTAAGTTTCAGATCTGCTATAAATAACATCCATGTCTGCCTCTGCTGACCTTCACTGTTTCTCTACCTGAGGAATCCCTGACCTCACCGGCGCCCTCTGCTGGCCATTAAAGGTGTTCCAGCTCTTTCCAAACTGGATTATTTTCTCTCCATTTACTGGTTTTCATGTGAACTAAATGACAGATAAATTAGTTAATGTTTCAATTTAAAACATCCTGCAGCTTCCTGGAGACTCAAGCCACTTAAAATTATTTTTATTTTACATTTCAGTTTCTGGAATTTGCATCTTTTTCTAAAGGATAAAGGATGAACTGGTTGGTCGGATGTCTGAGCTCAAAGCTTTTGATTTGAACTCTTCCCAAATGACTTCCTAAGTTAAAAAATTGGTATTTAAACCCAAACTAACTCATTTTATTCTTTATAATTCCCATACTGACCCTTACGCCCTCCCTCCCCCTCGGTTCTTACGTGTGTTTGTCCTTCAGAACCCATTTGGAGTCTCTGCGCTCGTACATGACGATCGGAGGAACCCGATCATCTGGAGACATCTTGCTGCCGTCGAGCTTCAGGAAGAAACAGAAACAAACCGACTGCATTAAACCAGCAAACTCTCCCGTCCGTCCCATAAACATAGAAAACATTTAATCTCTTCATTAAGACTTTATTTTCTGTCGTCCTCACCATTAATAAGACTGCACTCTCAAACTGCTCGGCGATCTTGTCGGCTATCTTCAGAGCGCACGGCGTCGGGCTGCAAACAGACACCAGACCACTGAAACCGTTTCTGGATCGGCTTTGGTCCTGGAGAAGTTTCTTCCTTCAGAAACTCACCTGCAGTCTGATGCGCAGGCGTTGGCCTGGTAATATCCAACTATCCTCTGCTGAGTCTGAGCGCACCAGACATCCACCTGGGAGAAGAGGAGAGAGAAAACTGCTGGTTTAGTCATTTTAGACATGTCTGCAAAACATCTGAGTAAATTAGCTGATTTATGTTCAGCTTCAGGAGGATTAAAAACGCCTCATAAACGTGTTGCAGGAAATATTTAACTATTTAAATCAGCAGATTATTTACAAAAATAAAAGTGGATTAACACTTCACCCACAGTCCACACCTTACTGAAATCTTGAGAGGGCTTTGTAAGCCTGCAACTATTATTTTGATGATAAATCAATTAATCAGACAAAAATACATTCTGCAGATTTTTCATTTAACCACAAGCTTTGCCTTTATGGGAAATTTGATTTCTTTTACTTTTAACCTCAGAGAACATCCAATATTTTTTCTTATAAACATGTTAAAATAATTCATAAGATTTATGAATTATTTTGGTGGAATCTACTCCTTCATAACCACATTACTATTATTTTTTCATCTTCATGAATTTCAATGTGGGGGTGGAGAAAAAAAAAATCAGCACTTGTGAAATGGAGCAATGTAAATCCAATTTTATGTCAATCTGAATTTGGAATTTTTATATTGCTGAAATAAATTAAATTTTTAACTTTATTCTCATGTTTACAGAAAAACTTCCCTTATTTTGGATCTACATCACATCCTGGGCCTTTTTGAGAACTGGGCCACCACACCAAACTCCACACCTGCGTGAGGGCCAGTTGCGTGATGGGAGCCAAGGGCAGGTGAGAGTGAAGTAGCGGCACGCAGTCCGTCACGCAAACAGCGCCACCTGCCGAGCTTGAGGACAACAGCAGTCCATTGATGCTGCAGCGGGGGAACAGGCAGGAGTGCAGGTACATCTTCACATAAGCCCGACAGGAGAGCTCCACCTCACCCATGGTGACCGCTACGGAGGTGCAGGGCGGACAGAGAGACGTTGAAACACCGAACAATAACACAAACACTTTCCTTATGAACGGCGCCATATTTACCTAGAAACAGACCCAGAAACGTCCCGGTTCGGCTGCGTTTGACAGCCGGATAATTGCCCTGTTAGGTCCTGTGGTTAGCATACAAGCTAAACCGATCCGCTTAACTAGTCTACCTCCAAGTTAGTCTCACTAGAGCTGCGAGATACACGATCAATACCTTAAGCAGTTTAAAACCCAGTTAAATTACTTACAACACCCAGAGGTCTGTCTTTTAGCTAACAAGCTGGCGAATGAATGACGTCCAAAGGCAGTCACTGGTCCCTCCCACTGGAGTCATATGCATTGTTCCGATTGGCTTAGAGCCGAGATTCTGTAATATGATTGGTGTAGAACCGTGCTTCTCCGTTCTCCTTTTTAAGAGCGTGTTTACACATCACAGCACCGTGCGCCCCCTAACGGAGCGGAGGAAGGCACTTTGACAGAAGTGAATGAGTATCTAGAAAAATGTTTTGCTGAAATAAAGAGCATTACACGCCAGTAAAATCTCTGGATACTCAACCCACTAACTTAAAAAATGACAAGTCATGTTAGAAACATGTCACTGGATGTACTCCATTTTTTTACATGTACTGGTTAAAAAAAAGCCACTTAATTTTGAAACATGAATTGCAGGTAGATTGAATAAATGCACAGGGTTAATCCCAATATCACTGCCATTTGAAAAACTACCCTTACGTGAACCTCTTCGTTTAAAATGAAGACTAATGCATAGTCAACTAGTTTTATTGTGCAACATCTGCATGACTGGTTCTGCTTTAGTGGCACTTCTGGGACAGCCTTGGTTAGTTGATTGGGATATAAAGTTTCTGTGACCATTTGACCAAATCACCACCACACCTGGAACATGCAAAATTCCAGTCAAGTTTTTAATACCAGGTCAGCACAGAAAAGCTTAGCAATTGAAAATTAGTTTAGAGTTTTGCAGGCAGGTTTTTGTTTATGAAATTAAAGTAGAAAAAAAACCCCAATAAGATTAGAGCCACTTTATTAAAGACCAAAATAAAACAAAAAAAAAACATAAGTGTTGTAATGAGTCCTTTATTGACAGAGGTGAATAATTTGGCATCATTACTTCTGGACCTATGACAAAAAAAAAATGTCAATAAGTTAAGACAGTAAAAAGTTGAAGTTCCTCTTCATAGAATTACCAACCTTCTGAAGTGCTCTAGATGCAGGGCTTTGATTGCAGAAATGGCCATTTGCTATAGCATCCTGGACTCTTGGGTGGCTCTCCACGATGCAGGGGCTCTTTAGGAACCTTGCCAGACTCCAAGGTTTGGAAAAAAGGCATTAGGCCGTGGCTGACTGGAGCCTCTGTAGGATGCCTGGGCTTAACAGGGAATGTTTGTAGCCTACAAACACTAAAGGGACTCCCCACTGAACAAGGAGGCTTACTAGGAAGCTGTGGTGGTTGGACCTGAGGTACTGGACCTCCTATTGGATACTTTGACTCAACAGGAAGTACTGGTTGGTCAAACAGAGGGACTGGCCCTCCAAATGGGTACTTGGGTTCAACAGGAAGCGCTGGTGGGTTGGACAGGGGGACTAGAAATCCAAATGGGTAGTCTGGCACAACACGAAGTCCTGGTGGGTTGGATGGAAGGGCTGGACCTCCTATTGGGTACTTTGGTTCAGTGGGGTAAGCTGGTGGCCAGCAAGAACCTGATTGTCTTCTACTTGAACAAGGAGGCTTTCTAGGAAACTGTGGTGGCTTGACTGAAGAGACTGGACCTTCTATTGGGTACTTTGGCTCAACAGGAAGCGTTGGCGGGTTTAAGGGAGGGATTGGAAATCCTGTTTGGTACTTGGGCTCAACAGGAAGCGTTGGCGGGTTTAAGGGAGGGATTGGAAATCCTGTTTGGTACTTGGGCTCAACAGGAAGCGTTGGTGGGTTTAAGGGAGGAATTGGAAATCCTACTGGGTACTCTGGGGCCATCGGAAGCATTAATGGGTAGAACAGCTGGCCTGGATGGCCTATTGAGTACTTTGGCTCAACAGGTAGGATTGGTGGGTTGGACAGGGGGACTACAAATCTGAATGGGTACTCTGGCACAATAGGAAGCGCTGGTGGGTTGGACAGAAGGACTGGACTGCCTATTGGGTACTTTGGCTCAACAGGGAATGTTGGTGACCTGCAAGAACCTGCTTGACAAGGAGGCTCTCTAGGGAACTGTGGTGGCTTAAACAGAGGGACTGGACCTCCAATTGGGAACTTCGGCTCAGTAGGCAGCTGAGGTTTATTACTGCCCTGTTCCTGCTGAGGGGTAAAGAAACCATGGAAACCCCTTGGAAACCATGGGGCATAGCGTTGCACATCTGGGAGTTTGTGTGGTTTGTTTGGACCCCGAGTTAGAATCCCAACCTCAGGCTTTGAAGGCACATATGAAGCTGTTGAAAAGCAGACTCAAGTTAAGTCTTTGTTTCAATATATATTGAAAATTACACAAGTCAACCTTACCTTTTACTTTACATATCTCCAATGCCAATAAGGAGACCATCACCAGCCTAGGAATAAAAAAAAAGTTTAATAAAAACTGTTTAAGGAGGAAAAAAACATTTAATTTACTCTAGTTTGACATACCTGAACAGAAAAGCCATAATGTCAACCTAAGTTGACAGCACGCAATAACTTGTGTACTGCTGTTGCTTAATTTTATACCTCCCCCTCCAATTCTGTTTTGGTAAATGGAAACAGGTGTCAGTAGTTGAAGGCTGATGTGGTCAATTATCTTACAAGAGAAGTGTTTCCTGCAAGGGGAAACCATACAGGGACTTTTTTGGTGGAAAACAGCACCTATCACCAAAGTTTAGGAAATTTGCCTGTTTTTTTCTCCAGAACACTAGAGAGTCACTTTAACATACATGATACATTTATTGTGAAACATAAATTAGAGACTACACAGATTTAGATCAAGATCACCCTCTATGTGGTCAATAGACAGAATCTCACAGTTTAATGGCTAAAATACATACACACACATATATATATATATATATATATATATATATATATATATATATATATATATATATATATACACACTTTTGTGCACATTGTTTTTTATTATTTGTTTTTATGTCACATGTAGTAAATTAACATATTCTGTACAAAATAAATTTGATTTTGTGAAAATATGTTCCTGCCATTGGTTGACAAGGCAGATTTGCCACTCTCAATATGGCAGATGTGCCGCTGGATCATTTCAACAGGACCACTACAACTTTGAAAATATGGTGTTTACTCTTCTGTTATCTGTAAATTCTAATCTTCAATTCCGAAATGACTGTTGGGCACATAAAACTTTTGTGAAAATTGACAATAATAATAATCAAGCACAAACGCAGGACTGTTTAAATGCTTAAAAAACAGTCCAATCGGATTGAGTTATGATTTAGCTTGGTGGTTCGTTTTTGTAGTTAGCTTAGTCACAGACTGAACTAACGGCCGTTTTGACGAAGAACTACAACTCCCATTAGCAAAATACTTACGCAAGGCGTAAATGACTTCCGACATGAGAATTTCAAAATAAAATGTAGAGACGTTCTCTCCATCGTGAAAAATCTCGCTCTGGGTGCCATTTTGTGCTTTTATTTTAAAATCGGGGTCATTCCTCCGGGTTTCGTCGATCCCTGACGGAGTCTCCCACCCGCTCCGCTCCCTCCCCCCCAACCGTTGGCGACCTGACAGCGGGCAGTGCTGTATGATTCTCCCGGGCAGGTTCACTCCTCCTCCTCCTCCTTCTTCTTCTGCGCGATGAGGCTCCGTTTGGCCGGGGCCGTGCTGCTGGCGGCGGCCGCCTACTACGTGTACCTGCCGCTACCGAGCGGCGTGAGCGAGCCGTGGAAGCTGATGCTGCTGGACGCGCTGTTCCGGAGCTTCATGCGGGCGGTGAGTGGCAGAGTGATGCGCCTAATGTGGTGGAACACCGGCGGACAGGTAGCGGTCCACCGCAGCCGGGATCAAGTTTTACAGGTTAAAGCCGCGCAGGTCAAGTTAACACCTGCCTGTGGGTTTAAATAATAAATTACTAATGTGATTTTCACTCAGCTGCCTAAGTTATTTTTTGAAGAGATTAAAATAGAATCGCATAGGAAAATACAGAATAAAAGCAACAAAAAACCTACAAAGCTGAATTAAAAAATCTCAGCTAAAATAGTACATAAAATGTGTGTGTGTGTGTGTGGGGGGGGGGGGATTTTGTTTCATATTTGTGCACAAATTTTCTTTATTAAAGTGTATGGAGATCTCTGGTTTTTCTGGCCCGTCTACGTCTTTCAATACAACTTGGTTTTTTTTTTCCAACCAAGGTTACCAAACTTAAACACCTGTACGTTTCATTTCAGTTATTTTTACAGTTACAGCTGGTTTTGTTGTTACAGAATTATGGGATTTGTAGTTTCTCTTGTGAAAATTTTAAATTTTTAATTAAGATGATTGAACTGAAATTTTTAGATCTTGCAGAAATGCTTTTTGTATTTTAAACACAGAACCATGTGGAAATAAAAGGAAGACATGTCGGCTTGTGGATTCTTGACTCCAACAGAAACATTGTGATCGTCTTAATTTTCACTTCTGTCTCTAATCTGTGTCCGTTTTTTACTGAGCTGAAAAGAAAGTGGATGAAATGACTGGCTGATTATGCATTTTACAGACTGACAGGGATGCAAATATTTATTTTAGATGCATTTTATGATAATCAAAAAAGCCAAATTTCACACTGTTTGAGCTGCTGGTCGAAGAGGAACTGTTTGTCAACTGAGTGGTGCATCCTAATAAAAATGATAAATAAATACCTCAAATTCAAATTGTTGTTAGTGCATCAGATAATTATTCATTTCTATGTTCGTCAGTTCATTTTTTCATTGGGGAAAATTTCCATGAGGTCCAAACAGAAAGCACAGAATGCTGCAACAACGTGAAAAACTCCTCCGACCGCGATGGTAACCTGCCTCCACAGACGGTAATCTAATGGCTGTCAGCAGACGATGCTGCGCCTTGGTCTTTGTAAAGAGCAACAAGTTTTTCCTGTGTATTCAGAGGACAGGTTTGGCACCCTACTCAGTGATTTCACCCTTTTACTCAACAGAGGGGTGAAAAGGTTTCACGGAGGTTTCACATCCACTGTGTTTCTATAAATTAAAATATCACTAAAAGGTTATTTAGTTTTAATTAAGTTATAAATTAGTGATTTAAAGCAAAAAGTAAAACTCATATGGATTTTTTTCTAACACAGTGATTATTTTGGATTATCTGGGACTATATTTCTAACCAAATTTTAAAATGTCTCAAAAAAGAAAATACAAATTAGGCTTTTTTTACATTTTCTGGTTTGAAGTGAATCAACCAGGCTATGTAAAGTATAATTTTGTCAGATTTTGGCTGTAAAAATAAAAGAATAATTCAAAATGTAGAAATTTTTACAAGTTTTGTGCCTCTGGCAAGGCACAGCCCAACTCGTGGAATTTGCTATGTCAGAACTACTTCAGCAAATGTCCCCATTTGGGCATTAACTCTTTTTTGGAAAAGCCAAAAAAGCAAGTGTAAAAACTTTTTTTATGAAATTGAGAAATTTTGCCATCAACTTTATCTAATGCCATACTTAAGAATACACTTAAAAAAACAACAGAAACACGGTACATGGGGGTTTAATCTATCGTCTGCAGTCTGGAGTTTGAAGCTATCCACTTTTAAATGGGTATTTGTGCCACTGTTTTTCCTTCCACTCAACTTTCAGTGTATATAATTGAATCGTACATCATTGATCTGTTGTGAACTCAGCTTGTTGTGCATTTCAGAGCGACGCGGCCCACTCCCTGGGCGTGTGCCACCGTGTTCGCCTGCTGAACCGGGTGGTGTCCTGGGTGGAGGTGATCGAGGCTCGCTCCAGTCCAACCGTGAAGGTGACCGACTCCACCCTGGGAGGTGTCCCCACCCGCGTGTTTCAACCAAACGGAGACAGCCGGCTGAGAAGAGGAGTCCTCTATTTCCACGGAGGAGGCTGGGCGCTCGGCAGCGCAAGTGGGTTTAATCCTAGATTTGATGTTTTTATTATATTTTTGCTCTAATTTAGGAATACCTGCAGTTTATATAAGACTTAAATACAAAACATCTCAAGATTTTATGGTTTATTAAAAGTTTAGACCGAAACATGTGAGAGTAGTCTAAAAATTTGTCTGATTCAATGAAATAATAAAGGATACAAAACATTTCCAGTTGCCAAACTTTTGTTGTCTTGCTAACCAATATGTAAATTCATGTTTCCTCACATTATTTTCTTAATTCTGAGGCAAAAAAGAGATTTATTTTTAATTTTGTTTTTTAAAATAAACTAAAGATAACAAATTCTGTTGGATGATAAATGGTCCCAGAAATTATTGCCATGAATGATAATATTGTTTTGAGATCATACTGAAGTAATATGATGGTGATAATAATACAAGAACTCATCCTCATAGAGCAATAAACTTTAAAGTTTAATGAATATTTAACAAGAGTGGAAAACATTTGAAATATCCAAAATAAATAAACAAAACAACAGATAAATACAGTAAACAGTTCTTAAAAAAAGGATTTAGTTGAGACCAAAACATCAGACTGAGGAGTTTTATCATCCAGGTTTTGGTAGAAAGAGAGAAAAGAGAAAAATTATAAATTATGCAAATGGAAATTATTGAACTTGCTTTAATTTATTACATGATCAATTAATTTATTGCTTATTGCATCAGTCATAGCCATCGCAGGAAACAACATGCTACAGTTTTTCCATGATTCCTCTGGAACAAAGTAGAGATGTTTATACTGTTATTTTCCATGAAATATTGCCTGATTGTTGCATCATTTTCCTGTTTTTGTCCACCAGCTGTTCCTTTACATGCCAGAAAATGTCAAATTATTATAGCGACCACTCAGTAAATCTGCCATTTACATCACAATGTTCCTTATTTATGAATTTTACCGCTTGTGTTTTGCAGAGATGCGCTCCTATGACCTTCTGTGTAGGAAAATGGCGGAGGATCTGGACGCCGTCATAATGTCTGTGGAGTGAGTGTCAGGAGTTAAATCAGCAAATTCACTCCTTTTATTTTCTTCTTGCTAGCGGCAGTGCTGCTGTGGCTTTCATGAAACAGGAGGTTTTTTATGTTCAACTTCACGGTAAGTTTGTGTCCGTTTCAGCAAACAGAGGGTTCGTTCAGTTGTCTTGGACACGGTTGAACTGACGAGACCAGGAAATGATTTCTGCCCAGAAACTGGAATATGAGCAAGAAAAGTCTGATGATTTAGACTTTAAATGCTGCCATGTTGCGTTTGTCCCGTCATAGATACCGCCTGGCTCCCGAGGCCGTGTTTCCGGATCAGTACCACGACGCCGTGGCAGCGTCGCGGGCCTTCCTGTCTGCTGAACTCTTGCAGCAGTACGACATCGACCCGGAGCGGCTCTGTGTGTCTGGAGACAGCGCTGGAGGAAACCTGGCTGCTGCTGTGGCGCAGGAGGTAAAACACCAACAAATATTACGCAGAGGCACATCCAGGTTTTAATTTATTTCTCTATTAACTCATTATTTAAATAACTGAAGGTCCTACACCCCGTCACCCTGCAAATAAACAATGTCTTACCAAGTATTTTTGTCTAGTTTCTTGTGCAAATTTCTTAGTGCACTTGAAATAAGATAAAACTAACTTACAAGTAACGTTTCAGCAAGAAATATGAGCTTATTTTAAGTCAGTGATTCCTTAATATTGATTAAACAAATTCTTGTTCCATTGTTAGGTAAATTCACTGATAAAATTACATTTTTACCATGTGATATGTGAATTTATCTCTCAAAATTAAGGAATTATTTACTTAAAGCAAACTCCTATATCTTGCTGAAAAGTTACTTGTGAGTTAGTTTTGTTTTATTTCAAATGGAACCCAGCTTAGGTTGCTAGGTAACGGGGCTTGGGTTGCTAGGTAACGGGGCTTGGGTTGCTAGGTAACGGGGCTTGGGTTGCTAGGTAACGGCGCAGTGCCCATGTGACTTAACTGCCAGGTTAAAGATATTTTTCCCATGTTACAAATAAAATATTCTGCCAATGGAACTTATACTTTTTCATTAATATTAAGGAATTATTTACTTAAAACAAGTTCCTCTATTTTGCGGAAATGTTATCTATAAATTAGTTTTATTTCAAGTGTACTAAGATATTTTCTCTAGAAACTAAACCAAAAATATTTGGTAAATAAACCTTTTTAGTTTCTTCTGTCAAGTTGAAAACTTAAAAAAAAAAAAAAGAAAGCTTGTTTGCTAACTATGTTAATTAGCATGTGTGGTCAAACATCAGTAGTGGTATGGCTGGAAGATTAATAACTGAAACTCACCTGCCTGCCAGTGAACAAACTTTATCAATTTAGCAAGCAAAGCTAAAGTGGAAGTGCTACGATATGTCCCATGTGTTTAATAGTCTTTTTATACCTGAATGATTTATGCACTAAAGTAGAGCGTCGAAACAAAACATGGGCCTGAAATTGGTGAGGAAAGGTTTGAAGAATCGGCAAACATCTAAAGAAAAACTATGAAAGATCTTAACGTCTGTGGAGCCATAATTTGAAAATGATTTCAAACATTTCAAGAAAGACTGGACATTTGGATGAAACCTATAAACTAACTGAAGTCTGTTTAATTGTATGACTTGCTTATTTTATAAAATGTCTTCAGTTTGGTGATTTGGTCTCATCTAGACCTTTTATTGTTGGACAGTTTTCATTAGAGACTCCATAATTCACTTTGTAATTTCTGTTTTATTTATTTTTTGATGTTCCAGTGTTAAATGTTTGTTAGAAGTTAAAGTTTTTTTTATCTTTGAGAATGTGTGGTTGCATTATTATTATTATTATTATTATTATTATTATTATTTTTATAATACCATTCCCATCATATTACCTTGAAATTGTCTCAACAATCACAATAACTTCAGGGTGACATTTGTTACTGTGACCGGCCCGGTTCAGTTTGGGTCAGGAATCTTCCTCTGAACTGGTATATTTTACTTTTTCCTGCAGCTCAGCCTGGATGACTCTCTGCAGGTGAAATTCAAAGCCCAGGCTCTGATCTACCCAGTGCTGCAGGCTCTCGACTTCCACACGCCGTCGTACCAGCAGAACCAGGCTGTGCCCATCCTCTACAGGCCCTACATGGCCCGCTTCTGGCTGCAGTACCTGGGCGCCGACTCCTCCCTGGAGCCCGTCCTGCTGGCGAACAACCACAGCGCTCTGGACCAGCGGGCCATCAGCGCCGCCACCCGCTCCAAGCTGAACTGGACCGCTCTGCTGCCGGCCGAGCGCAAGAAGAACTTCAAGCCGGTCGTTGAGGAGAAGGGATCGCCAGGCGTGGTGGGCGCGGTGCCGGGGCTGATAGACGTGAGGGCGGCGCCGCTGCTGGCGGAGCAGGAGGTTCTGGGTAAAACGCCCAAAGCGTATGTGATGACGTGCGAGTTTGACGTTTTGCGGGACGACGGTCTGATGTACGGCAGGCGGCTGCAGGACGCTGGCGTCGAGGTGACGAGTGACCACTACGAGGACGGTTTCCATGGCTGCATGGTGTTTGCGAACCTGCCAATGATGTCGAGCGTTGGACAGAGAAGCATGAGGAACTACATTCGCTGGCTGGACCAGAACCTATGAGCAGGACTCCACACATATGGGAGCTTAGTTGAATTTTTAAAAATTGGTGCAAAGGAAACCCAAAACAAAACAAAAGCAGCAGCATAAACATCTTTACACTGCAAAAAAACGATTGTCAAGTATTTTTGGTCTAGTTTGTAGTGCAAATTTCTTATCCCACACTAAATAAAATAAAAGTAACTAGCAAGAATCTTTTTAGCAAGAAATAGGAGCTGGTTTGAGTCAATAATTCCTTGAAAAAGTTCTTGTTTCATTGGCAGATAAAGTGAAATAATCTGCCAGTGGAATTGGCACTTTTTCAACAATATTTATTATTGACCTAAAACAAGCTCTGATATCTTGCTAAAAGGTTATCTTTAGCTTAGTTTTGTCTTATTTCAAGTGTACTAATGTATTTAACTAGAGACTAGACCAAAAATTCTTGGTAAGATTTTGTGTTTTTGCAGTGTAAACAGACATGATTTGCTGCTTCAGAGATGCTTTAAAAAACTCACTGGATCTGAATATTTTAGTGAAAATGGAGCAAAAAAGATATTTATGAAAAGCAAATATTATTATGGGTCAACGTTTAGAGGGGAGGAAATATATTTATGGCTTATTTATTTCTTGAAATTTCTAAAAAAAGAAAAGGAAAACCTTTTTATGTAAGCTAATTTTACACTGGATTAAAAGAAGATGAATTCACACATACTTAATAAAAAAGAAAGTCAGCCACTGGACAAAAACGCATAATGGATCAGTGTTTTACTTTAGTGTCTGTACAATTTATAAATTTGTACTTTGGCACATTTTATTTGATATATTTGTTAATTAGGTCATTCATGTGCGTTTTCATGATTTATTTATGTATTTTATTTAAAGGTTTAGTGTTTTTGATTAATTGACATTTTAGTTGGACACAACAAGGTGCTGTACAGGCCACAAAGCAGCTGTTTTCAAAGTACTTTTTGCAATTAATTAAATTTATTACACATTAATTATATAATTTAAAGCAGTAAATATGGCCACTTTTTGGCTCCTGAAATCCATAGACATTGAAGTACCAAACATACAATATTTCGGAGTTCACTTCAAACAAAACGTCTTATTTAAAACTTTCGCATCGTTACTGTTAAACTTGTAACAGACGGTAAAGTAATGAAAGTTCAGAAACAAAGTTGTTATGGACAAAACAAGTGAACACTTACTCAAGCTAAATATTATTTTAATTAAAAGCTACACTAACTAATACCTAACTCATTGGATTGCTAGTCAGGGTTATAGATAGGTAAGCTAACAGCTAAACAAACTGAAATCTAGTGAAGCTAATGCTGTGATCCATTTGTGGTTGGAAATTTCAACTTCCGAGTTGGAAAAATAAGCTTGAAAGTCTCCCAAAGTTGGACTTTGTTGGGGAATCTTTTCATTTTAGCTAGCAGCAATTTAGGCTAATAGCAACTCAAACTAACAGATGATAAAATAACAGCTACCTAAGCTAATAACTACTCACGCTTGAAAGTATTGACGCTAACTGTTACTTAAATTTTTAGCTGCTTAAGATTACAGAGATCCAAGCTAATATCTACTTAAGCTATTCAGCTAACGTCTGCTCAGAGCTACTTAAGTTTGGTGCTGTTTAGGCTAGTGACTTCTGAGGCTTACTGCTACTTAGCATCTACTCAAGCTGTCGGATTTTTAAACTAACAGCTGGAAAACAATTGATCAAGATAATGACTGATAGATTAAGCTGACTCAAGCTAACAGCTACTAATGCTAAAAGGTGCTTCGAGCTCAGCCTAGCAACGTTTAAAAGTTCATCATTTGAAAAACCTCAAACTCTTTACTAGATAAAGATAAGGCTATGTTTATTTTTTTTTGTTTTTTTACTCTGCTGATTTTATATGAAACATTTGTTTATGTTTGTCAGTTTTCTCATCTGTGTTGCTTTGGAAACTATTTTCAGTATATCTTACACTTGAACCCATATTTTTTAAATTTAACCAGGCAACAACGCTGAGATTAGAAATAGTGTTTACATAATATAATATGACATTTTTCCTTTTCTTTTGTTCAAAAGGCAAGGAAACATGCCTGACCTACATTTTTTAAAGAATGCATCATGATTTGACTTTTTGCCAAAGGAAAATGCAATAATTCAAACTGAAGGAACATTTCATCTGTTATTCCTTTTTAATTATTATTCAGCTGTTTAAAACGGTCTGCAGGTTGCAGATGATGCGCTTTGTAAAAGTAAAGCTCTATATTTTGAATAAAGCTGCTTCCAGTTTGAAGAACTTCGACCTATTCCGTAACAATTCCCTCAGAGACCGCAGAGGTTTGCTGACACATGTAACTAGAAGTCGGCGTGAGTTATGTCCGTGTGTTGTAGTAAAAGTATGCCAGAGTTCACAGCTGTGTATACTCAGCATTGTGCAATACTGTGTGTGTCCCTCTCACTCCATAACGTCGAGATCGCTGCATTGCAAGATGATGGCTGTGAAATCTATTAGTAGGCTGCTGTACCGCCATGAGAGAGCAGATCCCCGGTGGGCTATCATGTTTCCTTTCTCCTCCACCGCTGTCCTAAAAACGAATAAAATAAATGACGTCGGCTAGCGCCTGACAGACACGGCTCTGGCTGTCGGCCAACAGCAGAACCGATGACCTGATTGTGGTCGTTACTTCTCCAGTCTTCGGGGAATAAGCAAACTGGGAGTTTCTTTTCTGAGGGAAGAAGTGATTCCAGACTTAAAACTTAATCTATATAAGAAATAAAATGTTTGTTAGCAGGAAGAACACAAAATCTTACCAAGTACTTTTTTCTGATTGGTATTTTTGCATACAGAAGAAATGTATTTTACATATATCAGAATGCAATAATGCAAATCAGCCAATAAAGTTTATTTGTACAGCACATTTTATACATATTGCAAGTTTTATTGTATTTAGTAAAACCAATCATTGCAAAAAGAAAAAAAAAGTCTAACCGAGTATTTTGTCTGGTTTCTAGAGCAAATTTCTTAGTACACTTGAAATAAGACAAAACTAACTTACAAATAACTTTACAGCAAGAAATAAGAGCTGATTTTACGCAAATAATTCCTTTGTGCTGGAAGATGACCAGTTTGAACAATGAACTGAAGGAGGAAAAAAATAGGAATGAATTTCTGGCAAAAACCTCAGAAAAAATAAAAACAATTCTGAGTCGCAAAATTGCAAGAAAAAAATCTGAAAGTGAGATTTATTTCAGAAATGTTCTATTAAAAAAATATGGAAATGTCTGATTTTGAGAAGTTGAAAACTTGCTAGAAAAACTCAGAAATTTAGACATGAATCTCAGAAATAAAAAATCTAATAAAAAAACTTTAATTTTTTAGATTCAAAAGTTGAAAAATAGCTAAAAAAAAATCAGAAATTTTGAGATTAATTTCAGAAACCTTGTGAAAAACTAAACCTGGAAATTTCTGATTTTGAAAAGTTGAAAATGTTCTAAAAAAATCTAATTTTGAGATGAATCTCAGAAATGTTAAGGAACACGGAAAATTTTCCACGTTTGGATTTTTTAAAAACTTTTTTCTGGAAGATTTCTGAGATTAATCATAATCAGAAAATTTCTAAAGATTAATTTGGCATAAATGTGCTCCTCCTTTTTTTCTTCTACCACCAATATTCCTATTTGTAGTTTGCTGATATTTCTGAATCATAAACATGCCGAATAAAGTAGATTCTGATTTCAGTCAACAGAAGATGGCGCCAGATCGCTCTCTGAATGTTACTGAGCAACAGTTAAAATTCTGCTTGCGCAGACTTAACTTATCACTCATCTAATGTTTCTTTTCTTTGTACTTTTATTTTGGAAGTTCAGAAACACAGTTGTATTTTTCATTTGTAAGTTAGCATCCAGGAATGTTGGAGGCTAATAAAACCATTGTGCAAATCATGGGGTTTGTTGAAAAGTGACATTTGTCCTTTCATTGGTTTCCAAGATGCTTTTCTGCAACTTGTCCTTCAAGTTGAGGCTTGCAGAGAAACAGAAAGCTGTAAGACGATTTCAGATCACGTGACGGAGAGTTGGCAGCGAGGTGAGCAGAACCCAGCTGCTGAAGGGCCCAGACCCACCCATGGAGTGCCACAGGGCATGCTCAGTGTTTGTTTACCTGAATCCCATGAAGTTGGATTGGTGCCCATCAAAAGTTGGATCTCTGAAGCAGGTATGTGCAGAGGGAGGTGGGAGGGGCTTGAGCCCTTAACCCTATGATGCTCCAAATGCCCTTTTTTGAGTTGCGTCTGGAACGAAGCTGAAGTCAGATTCCAATTGTAGCTTCCTGTACTTATCCTACAAGGCTGAACATGATGTCTGCCATGGAAATACACAGTATATAAAGTACTGATTGGTAGTTCAAAGGGGTGTACATCTGAAATGGTTTTTTAAGCCGTCCTGATAGGTAAAGTGAGTCATCCGGGAGGGACTCAGAGTAGAGCCACTGCTCCTTCACATCGAGAGGAGCCAGGTAGGGTGGCTCGGGCATCTGGTCAGGATGCCACCTGGACGCCTGTCCCACCAGGAGGAGGCCCAGGGAACACCCGGCGTTCCCAGATTGACCTGGGAACGCCGTGGGGCCCAAATGGCTTGTTGTTCGCGGCTTCAGTTGGCAGTAATCTGACAGGAATGACTTCTTCCCCCATTCCTGTCAGATTACTGCCAAATAAAGCTACAAACACAGAAGTTCATAACAAAAAAACCTTAAACACAATTATTATAAATGTTGTAAGGCAGTAGGACCTTAAAGTATTAATTTTAGTTGAACACTAAAACCCAATCAAATGTCCAGGTGATGGGACAGAACCCAACATGGACACTGGGTTCAATGGACATATTTGTTTTGTGGGGAAACTGGAGCGCCCAGAGAAAACCCATAGAAGAACAAGTGGGAAGTCATTTTACTGTAATCTGGACTTCTAACACTGGAACTGGAAGAAATGTTAAATATCCAAAACAAACAAACAAAACAACAACAAATAAAATTAATTATTTAGTCTCTCTTAAAAAAAGGGGCTAAATGAGACCAAAACACCAGACTGAAGACTTTAGTTTT